GCCCGGTTTAAGGGGTTTAGGGCTTAGGTTTAGGGTTTAGGATTTAGGGTTTAGGGTATAGGGTTTAGGGTTTAGGGTTTAGGGTTTAGGGGTTTAGGGTTTAGGGTTTAGGGGTTTAGGGGCTTAGGGGTTTAGCGACCTATAGCCGACTCAAAATCGACAGCACAGGATTGCTTGCCTCTGGCCACCTGTGTAGCCCTTGTAGCACCATCTGAACACCCCATAACAACAGAAACACAATTTCACCGACAGACCTTCCAGACACCTTGCAAAGTCCCTAAGAAGACCCTTCTGAACAACCCTGACTTATAAGAGCCCTGAGAAGAACCTTCATCCACACCCTGCCAAAATCGCCCCCCAAAACCTTAAACCCTAAACNNACCCTAAACCCTAAACCCAAAAATAGCTGCGCCAAGCCGACCTTCTGAAACGCATGCGCCATGCAGAGGCTGGTAAAGGAGAAGCCCAGACCGAATATGGCATACCTGGGGGGCACCGGGTCAGAAAACAAAACCCCACAGCTCTAACCGTAAGCCCCCTAGCCCCAATACTGCGGCCCTGAGCCCTTTTTGGGCTTCGCTGAAAGAGTCTCAGACGAGGGCCGAGTATGCCGGCAGCTTCGCATTCAGGGTTTAGACTTGCTGGTGCTCTTGCAGGGGGCGCTTCTGCTCAGCTTGCAACAAGAGTTGTTTAGAAGACCCATCTGATCCTGAAGTCGCTCCTTCGGGAGTTGCTTGTCGAAGTCTTCTGCAAGTTTTCTAAAGCTTGCCAGTTTAGTCTTTCTGGAGTCGTTGTGGGTGGTGGGTGATCCTACGGCTTGATTGAGGGTTCCTGAGACTCCCATAAAAGATTGAATAACAGACTATAGCCAATTTATGTTAAGGGGGGCTTCTTAACTAAGGATATCTCGTTTTACTCAAACGGGTCGGTAAAGGCTTTGAATGTAGCAACCTTTGAAAAACCCTTCTTGTTGGCCCTATGGCAGCCCCCGATAGTTGTCAAATTTTGAAGTCTCTGGATATTTTACCCTAAACCGTAAGCCCTAAGTCCTAAACCCTAAGCCCTAAACCCTAACCCCCACGTCAATCCAAGCTACTCCGGCATGTAGATACCCCCGCAGGAAATGTCCTGGATCCAACGGTATCTGCAGCCCCTGGGCATCAACTGGGGGTTTGGGGGTTTAGGGTTTAGGGGTTTGGGGTTAGGGTTTAGGGTTTGGGGTTTGGGGTTTAGGGTTTAGGGTTTAAGCTGGGGGTTTAGGGTTTGGGGCGTGCGATTGGGGGCTTAGGAGAAGGAACCTGGTGACCCTGCATATAGGGGTGGCGCGCAACCCGGACACCTTGAAAGGAACCAGCCGGGACGAGGATCGCATGCCTACTTGCGAAAAGATCGAGGGTTTTTGCTATTTTTGGAACGATTTTTGCGAGGCCTGGCAGAATGCTGATTTGCAGTCTGCTTTAACGCTTTCGTGACAGTACACCCGGAACACCGCATGGATTCTTGGGACATAATAGATGGGCCTTGATAATGAGAATAGGGTTTTGGGGCCCCAAAAACGATAATTATAGCAAAAAAGCCCCCAAAAAACTACGTATTGGTACTTGTTTATGCCCCTATATACAGTCTTGTATTCTATACCAGGACCCTCCTTGTACCTTAAAATAGGGGTATGTGGCGCCAAATTATAGGTAATTACTTGAGGTCAATAGAGGGCGGATCGAGGGTCTAGGTTGTATTCCAAATTATCCCCAAACCCTAAAACCCTCAACCCTAATTTAGGGTTTAGGGTTTAGGGCTAAAGGCTAAAACCCTAAACCCTAGATGTATACTGCTATTCCTTGCGGACTGGAAATCGAAGGTTCAGAGACCATCGAGAGCTCCGGGAAAGTTGTAGAGTTTACCTGTAGTAGGGTTTAGGGTTTAGGGTTTAGGGGTTTAGGGTTTAGGGTTTAGGGTTTAGGGTTTAGAGTTTACCTCTCTCCCATCAGACCCCCGGACTTCTTGTCAAGGCTTAAGCTGCGTGCTAGGGTTTAGGGTTTAGGGTTTAGGGTTTAGAGTTTAGGGTTTAGGGTTTAGGGTTTTGGGTTTTGGGTTTAGGGTTTAGGGTTGTCGGTAGCTGCACAGCCCCGCCTGGGGCAACCTCACCGCTGCTCTTTTTGGTCCTCGACCAGACGAGTTCCTGCGGAAGTCCATGTCCTGTGCAAGGCTTGCGTTGACACTCCTC